GGAGGAGGAGGAGGAGGAGGAGGAGGAGGAGGAGGAGGAGAAAAGGACTGTGGGGTCCTTGGTGCTCTCTGAGCTTGGTGGTTTTCTTGCAGACATTTCATTACCCAACTAGGTAACATCATCAGTGCTAGAAGGGAATGGGATTTGTGGAGGAAAAACCACCAAGCTCAGAGAGCACCAAGGGCCCCTCATTTCAACCCTGAGCTACGAATATTCTCCTTTATTGGTACAACAGAGGTTTCTCTGGCTTTCAAAGGAAAAAAAATAAATAAATCAGATCTCTTGACAGCATCAATTTCACTTAATCTACACTTCCCTAATGTCTGTGCAAAAGAACAGCCATGCAAGGACTGTCATCAACCTACTTCCCATTCCGAAAATAACATTTAGTGCACGATGCACAACAAGCCCTTGTGCTTATTCTGTTCTGCCCAGTGGGCAATTATGAAGGTGTTAACACAGTAGTTCTCAACCTGTGGGTCGGGACCCCATTTGGGGTCGATCGACCATTTCATGGGGGTCGCCAAGCAAGGCTGTCCGCCATTTTTTTTGTCCGCCATTTTTTTTGTCCGCCATATTTTTCCCCCTTTTCCGGCGGGTGCCTTACCTCCCTTGAGCTGGGCCAGCTGGTGGTCGGCCTGCTCCGTCTCTGCCGCTTGCCAGCTACGCCTCAGCCAGCGCAGGGGGTGGAACCACGCATGCGCGGCGCTCCCGGGCAGGGAAAGTCCTCGACTTACGACCGGTTGGGTAGTCCTCGACTTACGACCGGTTTAGTCCTTGACTTACGACCGGTTTAGTCCTCAACTTATGACCGGTTGGGGTTGCGGCATTAAAAAGGTTGAGAACCACTGTGTTAACAGGAGGTCCTTCCGTTTTGCCATCCGGAACATAAAAATAATTAACAATAAAAACGGATTTCACGAAGATAGCAACGGCATTGGCAGAAACCCGGGCACGTGAAACCCAGCATAAAAACAGCCGGCACAAAAAAAAAAAGCAAGGATGGAAAACATTAGCGAGCAACTGTACCTCGTAAATCGGAAGGGTGTCGGAGTTCCAGGCGGCGATTCTAGCTTCGTTGACGTCAACCACGGTGACCTTAATTTTAGGGCACATCTGAGCAATCACGCTGCATGTTGGCCCACCGACGTAACCGGCCCCGATACAGCAGATTTTCTTAATTTCAAACATGACCGCTGAGAATTAAATTGGGAAACAAATTGGGACAGGGTCAATTCGGCATCGGTTCAAAACCGCCCAAAATTGGAAAACCCACTTTGGGAATGCGTGGAAATGGTTTTTTGTTCCTACATTGGCATTCGTGATCCCTGTTTGGAAGCACGGACTTACAAGTCCTGCCTCAGCCAATTCAGGAAGGAATTTGCCTCCGGGGAGTAGGCTCTCAGTGTACATGCAAGCAGCAAAGTGATAGGTCATAGATCATAAATCATAGTTACTGGGGTTGTTTGTCACAAGGTACAAACAGCAAGTGATAAATCGTTAAGATGCCACTAGGACAGTGGTTCTCAACCTTTTTAATGCTGTGACCCCAACCGGTCGTAAGTCGAGGACTAAACCGGTCGTAAGTCGAGGACTACCCAACCGGTCGTAAGTCAAGGACTTTCCCTGCCCAGGAGCGCCGCGCATGCGTGGTTCCGCCCCCTGCGCCGGCCGAGGCGTAGCTGGCAAGCGGCAGAGACGGAGCAGGCCGACCACCAGCTGGCCCAGCCCAAGGGAGGTAAGGCACCCGCCGGAAAAGGGGGAAAAATATGGCGGACAAAAAAAATGGTGGACAAAAAAATGGCTGACAGCCTTGCTTGGCGACCCCCATGAAATGGTCGATCGACCCCAAATGGGGTCCCGACCCACAGGTTGAGAACCACTGCACTAGGAGAAGGTGAGAAGATGCCACTAGGAGAAGATGCCACTAGGAGAAAGATGAGAAGATGAGGAGGATAATAGTAATACAGCCCTACTACATGAGTAAATATCTCTAGGCAGAAGACCAGGGGGTCTTCAAATGTGGCCCTTTTGTGACTGGTGGACTTCAACTCCCAGAATTCCTGAGCCAGTCATGCTGAGGGGAAAGGGAGAGGTCTCCAAGCTGACCCATGCTGGCTCAGGAATTCTGGGAGTTGAAGTCCAGGAGTCATAAAAGAGCCAGCCCCTGCTCTAAACTACTAAAGTCTACATTAATTAACATTAATTATGCTTTCATATGTTCCTCTAAGTGGGAGGTCTTCAAACATGGCCCTTTTATGACTCGTGGACTTCAACTCCCAGAATTCCTAGCCAGCCACGCTGAGGGGAAAGGGAGAGGTCTCCAAGCTGAGCCATGCTGGCTCAGGAATTCTGGGAGTTGAAGTCCACAAGTCATAAAAGAGCCAAGGTTGCCTACCCCTGACCTAGAGGAACATATGAAAGCATAATTACTGTTAATTAATGTAGACTTTTATTAGTTTAGAGCAGGGGTAGGCAACCTTGGCTCTTTTGTGACTGGTGGACTTCAACTCCCAGAATTCCTGAGCCAGCATGGCTCAGCTTGGAAACCTCTCCCTTTCCCCTCAGTGTGGCTGGCTTAGGAATTCTGGGAGTTGAAGTCCACGAGTCATAAAAGAGCCAAGGTTGCCTACCCCTGGCCTAAAATAACTAAGTTAATTACTGAATGACTACACCTCCTCGAAGGAGCATGACAAAGCCCCATTTTTCATACTACACTTAGTCCTCTATTTACGGTCACAGCTGAGCCCAACATTTATGTTCCTAAGTGAGAAATTTGCTTTTGCCTCACTTTGTGACTTTCCTTGCCACGTTTGTTAAGTGAATCACTGCAGTTAAATTAGTAACCCGGTTGTGAAGTGAATATGGCTTCCCCCCCATTGATTTTGCTTGTCAGAAGGTCGCAAAAGGGGATCACGTGACCCCAGGATGCTGCGACCGTCGTAAATATGGATCACTTGTCATGTATTCGTAAATCAACTGAACCTGGGGAAGTCATAAGCGTGAAAAATGGTCCTAAGTCACTTTTTTTCAGTACCGCTGTAACTTCGAACGGTCGCTAAATGAACGGTTGTAAGTCTGGGACTGTCTGTACTGAATTACAAACCATGAAAAAAAAAAGAAAGGAGGATCAGACAGGCTCCCGTTGACTTGGTGTAGGAGCAGCATTTTTTTGGGGGGGGGGAATTCGTGCTTGCAATGTGGCTCCAGAGTAAAATTTCTTCCTTAAAACCCCTCCGCTTTTCGGGAAGTGGCTTGTAAGGAGTGGCCTCCCTTCCCCCACGCCAGAATTTTCTCCTTTTTATTGTAAAAACAAGGAAGAAGCCATCTGAGAAGGGAGGAGTGGGGGATTGCCCAATTGATGCA